ACAAAGAGTACATTTTTAAGTCTGATTTTGGAATTTATAATATCATCTATACAGTTTAATTACCATATTTTAGGAGTGATGCTTAAACCATTAGAATAGCAATGTGAAAATTTGACAATGAAAGGAAAGGTTTCCAATGTGCTCTGTTTCATTTGTTTACTTTTTTTTAGTTTTATGCATACTGTTAAATAAGAAATAAACACATTTCGATATACTACAGTCATACTCTTTTTAAAGATGATAAAAAAATTTCCTTTACTAATAGTTTTTTCTTTTTTTTTTACAGAAGCAGAAAATTTGTTAAAAAATATTTCTTGAAAATATATAACCCACTTAATCACACCAACTTAAAAAGGAATATACCGAAAAGAAAAAAATATGCGCATTTCCATTAGTGATGGTTCTGTTTTTAGATATGTTGACAATTGAAATCAAATTGGCATACTATTACCGAATAATTTGCACAATATAACGAGTGAAAATATTACCGACTTTTCTTTCAAAATGGAAAACAAACGTAAGTTCTGTGATGTTGTCATACAAGAAGCAATGTTTATCATTAAACACGGTACGCTTGATGAGTTTGAACGCCTGTTAGAAGAAGGCCTTGATACTAATGCAATCATAGTCGAAAATCGTTGCAGCAAGATGATACACGTAGCATCTTATTTTGGCCGATGTGATATAATTGAATTGCTTATAACAAAAGGAGTTCGCGTTAGTGAAACTGATAAACAGGGCCGCAAACCCTTACACTACGCAGCAGAAAAAGGGCATTTAGAAATTGTAAAGATTTTAATCAGAAATGGGGTAAATGCGAGTGCTGGAGGAAGTTGTATAGGATCGAAATACTGCCATTTTGCATCCAGATTTGGTCGCAGGAACATTCTAGAATTTTTTTTCAGTGAAGGTGGTGATGCGAATGAAACTGATGAAATTGGTTGGACATTATTGCACTATGCAGCTGTGAACAATGATGTNTGGATATTGTGGAATATCTAGTTGATAATGGTGCTAATATCCATGCAGAGCAATTTTCTACAGGTATGAAACCTATGCATATTGCATCAATAAATGGATGTGAAAAAGTTGTAGAGTATTTTTTAGTTAAAGGAGTATGTGTTGACACGATTAATAAATTCGGTAACACCTCATTACATTTAGCTGCATCTGAGGGAAAGCTTGAAATAGTTGATGTACTTTTGAAACATAAAGCCAACATTCATGCTCTTAATAAAAATGGTAATCAAGCAATTCATTTGTCTTCCCTCTACGGACGAAGAGATGTACTAAATTTCCTTCTTCATAGTGGTTCTAATGTTCAAGATGTCGGTATACATTTCTATACGCCTCTACATTTTGCAGCATTTAGTGGGCATCTGGATGTAATTCACGATCTTATTGAAAACAGAGCTAATATATATGCCAAAAGCATATATGGTGAGTCTCCGATAATTTTGGCAATAAAATGGGGCAATGTTAATGTTGTAGAATATTTCCTCGACATTGGATTCAAAATAAATGACACAGATAATGATGGCTGGACTCCATTGCATTATGCTTCGCTATACGACCATATAGGAATCATTGAATTGTTGATTAATAATGGTGCTAACATGAACGGCAAAAGTAATAAAGGCCAAAAGCCTATTCATGTGGCGGCTGTGAATGGGCATACGCTAACAGTTGAGTATTATATCAATAAAGGATGTGATGTAAATGAATTAAATACGAACTGCCATTGGACGTGCTTGCACTATGCTTCTCATAAAGGTAATCTAGAAATGGTTCAGTATCTTTTTGATAAGCATGCCAATATTCAAGTTGAATCCAGTGATTATGAAAAAGCTATTCATGTCGCTGCGTTCGAAGGAAAAACTAAAATAATAGAATTTTTTATTTCTATTGGAATGAACATTGATGAGCACAGCAGTAAAAATTGGACACCACTTCATAGCGCTTCATTAGGGGGTAAATTAGAAACGATTGAATATTTAGTTCAAAAGAAGGCAAATATATACGCAAAGACTTATGAAAATTATGGCGTGCTGCATCTGGCTGCAACACATGGACACAAAAATGTAATAGAGTATTTTTTGAATCTAGGGCTTGATTTTAACAAACGGGATAAAAAAGGTTGGAAACCTCTACACCATGCTGCATGTGCAGGGGCCGTTGATATTGTCAAGCTCCTTGTCGAAAAAGGTGCTGATTATGTAGAAATGTTTGGGAGAGTTGCCAAACCTCTACACATTGCAGCTAAAAATGGTCACGTAGAAGTTATTAAAACTTTTATTGAACTTGGGCAAGATCCTAATTCATTAGGTCCAGATGGTCCAGATAATAATACTCCACTGCACATAGCTGCCAAAAAAGACACAATTAGCGCTATAAATTTTCTTGTGGAAGCGGGAGCTAATCCTCACATTACAAATTCAAACGGGGAAAAACCCATTCACATTGCTGCGCGTCATGGTAACAGGAAAGTTGTTGAGTTGTTTCTCAATATGGGTATTAGTGTAGATGAAAAGGATGAGGATGATTGGACGCCTATACATCACTCCATTACGAATCATCAGTTAGACCTTGTAAAGTATCTAGTGAATAGGGAAGCAAAACCGAATTTAGACATTAAGACTATAGAAGGTGAAACGCCATTGTATTTAGCTTACAAAAATAAGCGCACTGATATAATGATAATGCTATTAGAGGCAGGAGCAAATCCTGATATCAAAGACAATGACGGCCGTACATTTCTCTATTATTATATCTATGAATATGTTGAATGTTTAGTTTCGTATGATGATGATAGAAATCCACTCAATGCTGAAAGTATCTTGAGTAAAATAACTTGTTTTACTGATATCGATGATAAAGGAAATAAATCTGCTGTCCATCTGTCAGCTGAAGGTCTTTGGAATTTAGACTTTTTCAAACTCGTCTTAAGCCACCAAAAAGATGTCAATGTTATTGATGCAAATGGTGACACCCCTTTAAACTACTTAACTGAAGAAATGGCTCTTTCTCAAGGGGAAGATTGTATTTCTTTCATCAAACATCTTATTGATAGTGGTGCTTATTTCAAACCGAAAGATTGCCAAAGAATACTAGAAAATCATCAAGTAAGAGATATGCTTTTTACTGACGTAAAGTTGTGTTCTAAGTCAATAGTAAACAAGTTTAATAAAGTCGATTTACCAGTTTTGTATCGTTCACCAGTGCTTTCGTACCTACCTCCCATCGATAAAATGAAGTTAAATCGTCCTCAAATTCATAACATAGAAATAAGTTTAGAAAAGAAAATACTAAACAACGGTTATTGTGATATATCTACAATGCTACCACCATTGCTTGTTATTGCTTCAGTGGTTTCTCTTGCCAAGTATTATGGACAGTTTCACGAACTCAAATAATAACAGATCTCGCTATTCTTGGAAAAGCTATGTATTTTGCTCCTTGTTTTAATGCATTGATCTTAGAGTTTGTAAGTTTTCATTAATTCCTTGCAACACGCTATAAATCAGTTCGTTCAATTGTTTTGTAACTTGATTTTTGCTAACTAATAAATTATAAGGCATCCTGTTCCTCTAATTAAATGAAATTATTCTATAAATGAATATATTACAACAGTTGCTTACATTTGCGTAATACACTATTTGCGTTTTAAAGTTCCCGAGATTTAAGCTTAATTAATATGATTTAGTCTTAACGTCTTAATACAATACCATATGAAATTGGCAAACTTTTAAAATCAATTGGATGCAATATTTTTTTATTTTGTGACTTAGTGTATTCCTTTTAGGAAATATGATTCTAGTTATAAGACGTATTTGGCGAAAAAAAATAGTAGTTATAAATGTTGATCGCCAAAGCATCTAATGAAAGGCTTTCTGTAAGGTAGAGAGCAGGGCTCGAAAAACCGCCCGTCCGCCCGTCCTCGGCGGTCAAAAATTCCCTGCGGACAACAAGTTTCTCGAATCCAACGTCCGCGCGGACGACCATTTTCCCG